ATTATCATTTTACCCACATTGCCTTTTGTGCTAAAAACACTTATGAGCTATTTAATGAGAAGTAGAGAAGAATATAAAAAAGAAGTAAATATAACCTCAGACCAAGCCTTGAACTCATTTAACCTTTTAACTCCTTGCCAAATTCTCACACTGGTAGCTGCAACTCTGGCCACACTGCATTGCTAGCATGATACAATGGATGAACCTTCTCCAAGAATTCATCTATCTCCACAAGCTCCCCCCGTGCCCCCACCCCCCACGGTAGTCACAAAAATCACAGGAAAAGATGATCTTCAGATTCTTCTGTGGTTTTAAAGAGTACACATAATAATGGCACCTTGATTGGGTACAGTAATTTGAAGGATCACTATCACACTAAAACCTCATAAATTAGAAGGGCAGACATTAAAAATTCCGCTTTACACATAAAGAAACTGACACTCAGATGGGTCAATGTGCCAGTGTTTAGACCTATAAAAGGTGATAGTGTAAAGACCAGAATCTAGTCTAGTGTTCTATTCAACTTTCTGATGCTCACCTCTCTTTCTGATCATGGCAGTTTTAAAATGGTAGGAACTAAGCCAACACTGGGCTGTAAGCAGAGGATTCTTGCTTTATTCTGCCAAACAGCCTAATGCCTGGCCCAATTCTAGTACCTGAAACAGTGGACTTGTGGTTGAATTAAAGATTGCAGGATATTTTATTAGAAATGGCCTATCAAATAAATAAAATTCAGAACAATAGTAGCAAGCAAAAGTAACCTCATAGTGGAGGAGAAGGGACGGAAAATGCTAAAGCATTAGGGAGAACCACGAGCCAAAGAGCAGGCAGATAACGAGAACCCCAAGCATAAACAAGGTGAGAGTCACATGTGGCCAAAACTGGAGAGCCCAGACAGAAGTACTCAGAAAAGGGTGGAAATTGCCACCACGAGTCACGTGAAGTCTTTCTCTTGCTCCCTTGAAGTTTTGCTCTCTGGACTCTAGGATCAAATGTCATGAGCAAAAGGTCAGAAAGGTACCTAGCTAATTCTTGAAATTTCACTAATATTAGAAAACTAATAAACACTGTCAGATTGGACTTCTAATCAAGAGGTGAGCCTGGAGTGAACATTCGGGACATACCAGGCCAAACCAAGTAAAACAGATTTCTTTATGGCAGTAAATAACCGCCTCTTAGCATTCTTTAAATTTGTTAAGATGCCTTCTGAATTTCTAGGAGGGAGGTATTATGCGCATTTTCTCACATTCTTTGATTATGTTTTGTAGAGTATCTCCAGAAAGTAACCCCGGAAGCCACATATTTTGGTATACCTATTTGGAGTATTTGCTTGCTTATCTAAGGGAAGATAAGGCCTGCTTTTCTGGAGATAAATTTGTAAAGACACTTCTCTTGAATTCTAGAAGTTGGTTTTGAACCCCTCCGTAATGGAGGAGATTCCTGACAGAAGGAATGGCTGCACCGAGGCACCTATTAATTTATTGGTCAACTCATTTACTTGTTTATTCACTCTCTGGTTTCACATAGACACATGTAGCCTTGAGAAGTACCTATGAACATAAAGATGATTGGGAAACAGACTTCTTTCCATTAAGTCATCCAGATAATACCTGTCAATCACCACTTCCCAAAGTAATTCATAATAATGGAAACCACATGTTGTGGCTGGGTTATGTTTCCTCCAATTCACATGTTAACGTCCTAAACTTTAGTATTTTAGAATGTGACTACATTTGGAGACAGTGTCAAAATTAAAGAAGTGAGTAAGGTTAAGTGAGGTAATAAAGGTGGGCCCTGATCCAATAGGACTGATGTCCTTATAAGTAGAGGGCAACACAAGGGATGAACAGGCACTGAGAAGAGGTCATGTAAGGACACAGAAAGAAGACAGGCAACAAGCCTAAGAGAGAGGCCTCAGAAGAAATCAAACCTGTCGACACCTTGATCTTGGATTTCTAGCCTCCAGAACTGTGAGAAAATAAATTTCTGTTACTTAAGCCACCCAATCTGTGGTATTTTGTCATGACAGCCAGAGCAAATTAAAGCACCATCGTTAATTGTTCATTAGATCCTTGTCTTCAGGAGCTTACCCAGCCAGTTCTAATGTCTACTGAGGCTTTATAATTCCTTTTATTGTACTTTAGAAGAATTTCATGAGAACCAACTTGATTGTAAACCTCTTGAGAACCAGGCTTTGTGTTGCATTGTTGCATTTGCACATTGACTATCAGAGAGACAGGCGTCTGGTAGAATGAATATGTCATGTACATTTCTCCTCCCTCTCTGCATTAATAATTGAGTGATGACCTAATATATATCTTAAAGAGAGGAAGAAATAAGAAAAAGAGAACTACAAATGTTAAGCACATAGATATTTCAAATATGTCTTCTTTTAACACTTCACTTCTGTGTTGATGTAAGTATCTTTATTCCCATTTTACAGATGAAGAAACAGGGGTTCAGAGATGTTAAGTGATTTGGCCAAACATCATAAAATCATGGGCAGAGCCAAAATTCTAACTCAGTTTATTTCTCCTGAATATATGCTGGACTGAGAGAAACTCGTACAATTATTAAAAATGAAGAAAACACAATTATATTTCATCAATTGCTTATTTAGAAAAAGACAAAATCCAGCTAGACAGCAACACTGATGAAAAATAACTGGAAGTTTTAGTGGACTATATGTTCATTTCATAACATCCTCATAAGTGAATGGCTACCAAAAAATTATATCAATGTTAAGTTGTGCAAAAAAAATGATTATCATACAGCATTATTGAGCACTTACTAAGTGCCAAAAACTGTTCTTGATTACACATATTCTTGATACCTAGTCTGGAAAGAAAATAAAAGAAAATTCAGGTGTGTTCAAAGGCAAGTGACAAGTGTTTAAAATGAGGCTATACGGGTTAGATAAACTGAAAAGGTTTACTCTGCAGAAGATGAAGATGACATGATAGCTGCCTAAATATTTGAAAGATTTTCAGTTAAAGGAGGGAGTTAGGCATAGGAATGGAATTAAGAGCTAGTGAGCCTTCCATTACTGAGAGCATTCAAATAGATTGTCTATGTAGAAGCAACTCCTGATTTAATGGAAACTAGTAAATTCTTAATTTCCTTAAACTTAAAGATTTTAAGATCATAAATATCATCATTATGATCTTCATTAACAAAGTTAAGCTTGGAAGAAAAAAAAAATGAATGCTAACTTCCTTCTGGAACTATTGAAATGATCCCCAGGAGAGAAACATATCAATCTCTCATCATCATTGCTAAGAATCCTCATTAGAATTGTTAAATTTGACCCTTTCCTATATTGATTATTATAATTATACTAACAAATTCAGTCTCCAGGTTTCAAGCTGATAACATTACCTTTGAAAGGATTGTCTATTATTTTTGCCTTATCAGCAAAAGACGCTCCATTGTAATGCTATCATTGGCCAGGCATTGAGCAGAAGCTCCTTAAATACAACAGGACATCGTTGGTGTTTTCCTTTCTGGGATCAGCGTTTCTTGAGTATACAGAGGGACTACTGAAGTACCTCTGTACTGTATGTGAGTGAGTACATGATGATAGTGAGCATCACTAGAGAATTAGAGTAGATAATGCATTTGCAAGCACCAGAAAAGAGTCGTTATGTGATACGATAGGGGGGGGGGGGGGGCTACCCAGAGTCCAAAATGACAAATTAAAGATTATTATGTTGCGAGGCATCTTGAGGGGAAATTAGGAATACATGCAGAACAGTTCTGAGGAGACGGGGTCAAGAAAGACTTGCATTGGGACTATGTGTACAATGTACCAGAAAACCCAGGCTGTTGAGGTGTGTGGTGTGTGTCTGGGTGTTGTGTTGTGTTGTGTATCAAATTATCTAAAAAATTACATTGTTGGGGTGGGAACACTTAACTAGTAAATAAGAAAGACATCGGTGGCAGGAAAGAAAAAAATATGCATCAGAGGGTGTTCCACCCTGCCTGTTCCGAACATGTGTGGTGCTCAAATAATATTAATGCTCTGTGATGAAGATGGTAGCGAGGGATGATGGATGATAATGCATCCCATGGAAACAGGGCTGGGGAGGATGGACCATAGCGAGGGACCGGGAGAGGGAGGATGACTCACGGCGAGGGGTACCTGGATAGAGCCGCTGCGGTTGCACGTTGGCGAGGTGGGGGGGAGGCCGGGGCGCGAGGCTCGGGCCGGGAGCGGGCGGGTGTGGTGCCCGGGCGGAGCGGCTCCGGAACTCGGTGGCTGCCAGCTATGTCTGCGAGAGCCAGCAGCAGCATCCCGGAGCGAACCTCGAGCACTCGCCTAACTGACAGCCAAACTCTCCCTCTTCCTCCGCAGCCCCAAACTGGAGGCAGCGGAGCCCGAACAGCTCGGCGGCCGGCGCCGCCCAGCACAGGCCCCGCGGCCGCCGCCGGCCGACGCGCATCGCGGGCGGCGCGAGCTCGCCCTCCCGCGCGCGCCCGCGCGCCTGCCGCCCCCGGCCGAGGCTGGCTGCGGGAGGCGGCGGGCGCCCCGAGCCTCGCCAGGCGACCAACAAAGGCAGCATCCGGCTGTGGATGCAAACAACCAATGAAAGACTGGCCTCGCTCTCCCGCGCTCCGCTGCTGCGCCGGCCGCGCTCCTCCTCCTCCGCCGCCACGGAGGCTCCGCGTGAGGAGCAAGGCGGGCAGCCGTGGGCAGTGCATCCGAAAGGTGAGAGCCAGCGAGCGAGCGAGCGGAGGGCGGCAGCCCACGAAATGTCCTCGGCGTGCCCCGCGGTCCTCGCCCACCCACGGTGCACTCCCCCATGCAAGAGCTGCCCGCCTGAAGCACCTGACCGAGGAGGAGAGGAAACATTATCATGGGCAGGATGGACCGCAGAAGGAAGAAGAGGAAAAAGAAAGAAGCCATGCTCAAGTAAAGCCACCCCAGCCGCGCCATCCGTGCCTCCGTGCTCCTACCGTCCATTCACCG